TCACAGGAAAGACTTGACGTCCAGTCCTCTGTTGCGGATCTGTCCCATCATGTGGTCCCAGCTGCCTGGGTTGGACCTGGAGCGTCCTCCTCCTGCTCCTCTGTACCGGGAAGCACCTGTCCCCGCCGGACTCCCCCGCACCCCCCGCGGGCCTCCCCGGTGCCCCCCGCCCCCGGGCCCTGTGTGCAGCTGGCCCAGGCTCTGGGAGGTGGCTGGGGGGTCACTGGGACCCGGAGGAGGCTGGTGGGTGAGAGGCTGCTGGAGACTCTGCTGTCGCACCAGGGGACGAGGACGCGCTGCTGCTGAGGATGGAATGTGCTCCAGGGTAGAGGCAGCTGAGAGGGATGGGTCCCCAAAACTGACCAGACAGAGTAGCAAGGGAAGAGAGGGTAACAAGGGTTTTGCAGGGGTTGCACGTGAGAGAAGAGGGAAGGTGAGGGACAAAGGAGAAGGATAGTGGTAACCAGAGAGATTGACAGAAGAGATCCATAATTGGAAAATAGGAGATACAGGGGGAGAGTGGTGGTGTGAGTACAATAGAAGTACCAGAGGGAACAAAAATGAGGACGGGTCCAGAGAGTTCAACAAAGAGAAAGGAGGTATGGAGAGATGAAAAACAAGAAATAGAGCATTGTCAGGTTAAAGCAGTTTAGCAGTAGTCGTACAGTTGTATAAGATGCTTGTATGTGAGTGTCTGACAGTCTGTGGGTAGGCTTGTTTTTGACAGTGCTCAGGCCAACACCAAACAGGAGCTAACAGCCTTCATCTCTATTTTCCTCCATCCACTGCTCTTACCCTTTTCATGTCACTTTCCTCCCAGATTTACCTTGACCTCTTCCTCCTCCTTTGTATCCATCTTTCCCCTCTAACCCATGATGACTTTACACTAGCCTCCTAGCTACCTCTCACTCTATGCTGCTTCTCTTAGCTCAACTGGTCTTTGTTTGCTCCATTCATCTGACCTGCCTTACCCATCAGTTCAACCCATTAATCTGACCTGCCTTACCCATCAGTTCAACCCATTAATCTGACCTGCCTTACCCATCAGTTCAACCCATTAATCTGACCTGCCTTACCCATCAATTCAACCCATTAATCTGACCTGCCTTACCCATCAGTTCAACCCATTAATCTGACCTGCTTTACCCATCAGTTCAACCCATTAATCTGACCTGCCTTACCCATCACTTCAACCCATTAATCTGACTCCAAACAACCCTCTCCCCTCCCTCAAACCCCTCTGTCTTTCTAATCATTCATCTGCTTTTACACTATTTTAATAGTGCGTCCCGACTCTCCCCCTTCAATTTCTGCCCTTCATGATTACTGTAAGCTCTGGCTAAACAGCCTCTGTCTTAGGCTAGTGCAGCACTGGAGGATTTACAGCCTTTGGCTGTGTCGACTGTGCTCTTCAGTGGGCCCCGGGCCGGCTCCACAGCGCTGTAGTAATTCTACTGGAGAGCACCAGAGGCAGGGCCCCAAGAGGACTTTGTGGACCAGATTAATACCAGTCATACTTCAGCATTTTGCCCCCCCCCCCCCACTCCCCACATGGCCTTTCAGATAGCTCACATACGGCTCAGGACAATGTGTTGACTGAAGATGGGCTGTGGTTAGTGAGAATGAGTGTTACTGTCATTAAATGAATGGTCAGTGGGTATGGAAGTGTCTTGGGACGGGCTTATGGTATGTGCTTATTGCGGTTACAGCACATTTGATGAGTGTATGGATGTTGCTTTAAACATTCCAGAAAATCTGCAAGTGCCTTCAGATTTGCTTGGATTGTATATAATATAAGACATTAGGTTGGTTTGATTGAAGTTGATCAGTATCATGCTTCCCACTCTCTCTGTTCACCTGTATCACCACTGCCTAAATCATCCCTCTCACTCGTCTAATCCAAAGTATTATCATTGGACCTTTTATACGGGATAAAGAATCTAAAGAATGAGGGAGGGAATAAATAATATGGATGGATGCATTAAGTATGAAAGAGGGCTGAGCTTACAAGCTATCAGTGACAAGAGAAATATAACAAGATAAAGAATAAATGTGACCCAGAGATAGAAGTGTATATTTGAAAGCAGCAGTGCATAGATAGCAACATCAAATAAAAGTATTTCAATAAAATAATTCCACTCTGCTCCTCCAACAATGATGCACACAGTGCCATGCTGCAGTATGCGCCACATCAGCTGCAGTATGCTCTACATTTTACAGTCCAACAAATATTTTTGTCATAACTGACAGAATGATTCATCAATAAATCTGGATGGAGTACGTGGCATAGGGCCAGCCAGACATCTGGGAGTCCAATTCACGCAGAAATACATTTCTACTGTGTCATAAAGTTGGCTTAGGCTTTTTACAGCTCCTACCTAGATACCGTAGCCAGCTCAACACCTAATTCTTTCACTGTACATTTGTCTACTATTTCAATATCTCTCTTGTCCAAGGTTGAATACATTAAACTGCAAATAGATATTTCATTTGTCTCTCTGTGTGTATAGTAAACGACTTACCTACCCTGTCATTCAAATGGCCAGGCAGGCTATAAGCCCTTCTATCTGCTGCCTGTATCCTCCTCTGCTGACTTAAGAAGGGATTCTCAGATATCTCCTACCCAGAAAGTCAATTAAACTGACTAAAAACCTTGAGTGATTTGTAATGAAAGAGCCTTGAGGAGGGGAGAAAGGCAATGAGGCAGATGTAGAGGGAGGGGAGTGTGAGACATATCTTACAGCAGAAACATAGACACACATGGCTACCTCAAAATAGAAACCAATTCCAGACCAGAAATGGGGAGAAAGTTAGATATGATAGGGGGAGAGGGGAGGTAAAGAGTAGAGGAGTGAAGAAGGCAGGTAAACAGGGAATTGGATTTTGACTGAAAGTGTTAAAATGGTTATACACTCTTAGAAAAAAGGGTTATTTGGCTGTCTCCATAGGATAACCCAATTGGTTCCAAGTAGAACCCTTTTTGGTTCCAGGTAGAACCCTTTTGAGTTCCATGTAGAACCCTCTGTGGAAGGGTTCTATATGGAACCCAAAAGGGTTCTACCTGGAACCAAAAGGGTTCTTTAAAAGGTTATCCTATGGGGACAGCCGAAAGAACGTTTTAGGTTCTAGATAGCACCTTTTTTTCTAAGAGTGTACATGAGGAAAGGGAAATGCACAACTAACATTTGGTTTCAGGCGTCTTAAGAACGGTCCTGCTATAATATTCCATATCAAAAAGTAGATATTTGATTAACTGTTTTGTGGTCCAATACAGCGATGAAGCAGTAGCAGACGTTGCGTAACTTTTGGTATTTGTTTGTGAGAGAGGATGTTCTCTTTAGTCAACAGAGCCTTACCATGACAACAGATTCCCATGCATCAGAATGTCAGTACATGCACTCACATTTTCAGCTCATTATTGTCTTCAATAGTTTCTTCCCTCTTTCCATCTTTCCATCCATTTTTCCTCCCATAAATCTCTGCACTACCGAATGCAGCATATATCACATATAACCCTTGCTGCTTCTGATTGCAGTCCCCCAAACCATCTATACCATGCCCCTGTGGTGCTCAGCATTACCCCCCATGTGTGCCCTCATGCCCAGCCAACCCGTGTCACTCATGTCACTCACTTTCTGGGCCTCAGGCCTCCGGCTTGCATGTGGCTCTGGACCGTCTGCCAGCGCCCAGCCTTGCTGCCAGGGCCCAGCCCCGTCACTATGCTTCTCACGCTGTCACTGCGACTGGGACCTGCCCCACTCCCACACCCAGCCCCGCCCCCATCCCCCTTCTCCACCCCACTGAGAGACAGGGGGCACCAGATAGACAGACAGACACAGACATAAAGGAGAGAGAAAGACAGAGACAGACGGAGGAGAGAGAGACAGAGAGGGAGACAGAGAAAAAGAGAGAGAGAGGTGGATAGTAACAGTAGAATCAGTGAGGTTGAACAACCCAGAAGGTGAACCACACAGCAGAATAGCATTAGGATGGGGGTAGTGTTATCAATCCAGCTACAGGTTTCCAGTACAGAGGTGTAGCAGACAGCCACGAGGATCCAGCAAGTCAGTGGGCTGTGCTGCTGCTGGGTTAGCAGGAGGGAGATGGGCTGAGATTCACTGTGTATATCTGTCTGTCTGTCTGAACCAGATGGGAAGACTGACAGAGTGGTGTGTGTTTGGGTGCAGTAGGACTGAGACAGACAGATGCTGGCTGTGTTTTGAGTACCTGTCAGTTAGACTGACTGGCCATTCTGCAGCTTTACTTTATACTGCACATCAAATATACATGACCAAATGGATTATTCTATCAAGGACTTCATGGTGTTTGCAATAAAACTGAGCGGGTCATGATAATTGAATTATGTAGGCTATCTATGGCCTCTTTACATTTTAAAAGAAACAGTTGATCTACTTTGTTATCATGTACAGTAGGAACTACAACGTTAAATGAAACAGATAGGCTTGATCGAAAGGTTATGGTGTGTGTAATGACATTGTTGGAGCGAGTGGCTTGAAAGCCTATAGTAAGACATTGTAGTGTATAGCAGTTAATCAGCACAGTGAATCTGTTGAGTACACACTTCATTCCTCTCCCGCGTAACCCAGAGCAGCACAAGCAGCCGTAACCTAGACAACGTCACAGAGACAACAGCAGACAGACCAGACACAGTTTCACTACAGGGTCACTACACAGACACAGTCAGAGAGCACAGCTGCTGGTCGAGAGGGACAACACTTTAGACAGAGGCCCAGCCTGCAACAGTTATGCATTGAGCATGGGGTAGAAATAGGGGTAGGGATGAAGTTGACCATTTAGGGAGATTTAAGGTAAGTCATATTTAGCTTATGGACAGAGCTTCCCATCCCTTGCTCAAGACCTCGTCACATGACGGTGAAAAGGGCAAACATTTGACTGGATCTCAAAAAGGGATCAATGGATCCTAGCAGGTTCACTGTATCACAGCCCATGAACTCTAAAGACAATACACCCATTGAGAATAAACCCCCTCTTTATCTCTTCTCTAGTACACTTTAAAATGAAGAAAAAAACAGACTTTCTCTACTTAAACAATATATTTCAGTGCAGAAAAACATCAATGACATTAGAGCCTTTAGTGATACATGTACTGTACTGTACAGCTATAGAGGAACTGGTGTGTCCAGAGGGCTCAGGTGGTCAGACTAAGGAGAGCTATAAGGAGAGGCAGCCTTATAGCACCTGGTGGTGGAGGTGGTGGTGGTGACAAAACCACTAGGCACAACCAGAGTGAGGAGAGGTGAGAGGGAACAACACAGGACTCCTATAGAATGTGCCTAAAAAAACGAGAACAGCAAAAACTAGGAGCAAAAGCCAAAAACAACGGTCAACCCTCGATGACAGAGCTGAGGGGATGGTTTAACCAGAGGGGAATGGGTTTACGGTTAGGTTAATAACCTTAAGATTAGGGGTTGGTTGGTTAGTTGGTTGGTTGCGGTGGAAAGGAGGATATTGGGCTGTGTAAGTGGGATCTATAAAGGGTTTCTGCTCAGATGGTCTGAGGGTTGTCCGTCTCCATGGTAGCACTCCATGGGCTGGAGGTGAAGGGTAAGAGGTTAGGGGTTAGTGAGGCTGGCAGGGCTGTAGGGAAGAGGAGGCTTTTCAAATGTTGGTTGGTTGGTTGGTATATAGGTAAATGTGGAGTGTTGATTCAGTATGTTAAGTTTCTGTATGTCAATATTGTGTGTTTGTTTGTATGTATTTTAAAGATTCATGTCACATATTCATGTGTCCAGATGGGAAAGGCTAGTATAATGAATAGTGTGTTTGTAGTTGGTGGGCAGCTTCAGACATGATCTGCATCTATTAGTGTCTCCATCCAATTCATATTTGATCTGTCCTGGTAACGCCACTAGACAACCCCCTTCTTGATTCAATCTAGGGCTGCCTCCCAAATGGCCCCCTATTCCCTATGTAGTGCACTACCTTTGACCAGAGGGAATAGGGTACCATTTATGACTCACCCGAGATGAAGATCAGAGGGCTGGAGGGAGACAAGGCTGACCTCACGTCTGGCCATCGCTATACTAATGTCAGTCACCTCTAAGGTGAGGCAAGTAGAAACATCCTAGTGGCAGCCCTGTACGACTCAATCTAATTCTGCATGGCCAACAGTGCATACTAAATAGCTTTACCTTTCAGACCCTGTTGGCTGCAGGAAAAGGAATTACTAATGCCAATCAACGGAACTTTTCCAGGACAGAAGATATGTAAGATGTGCATGTTACTTGGATAACATCACTTAATAATGCTGTTTGGCCCCCTTAGGCTATTGCATTTGACCTTTACCGGGACATATGCATTAGGTTATGCCTTGGGTTCAGAACTACTGTTTTGCAAATTAGCTACTTGTATACAATAAAAAGTATTTGATCCCCTGCTGATTTTGTACTTTTGCCCACTGACAAAGAAATGATCAGTCTATAATTTTAATGGTAGGTTTATTTGAACAGAATAACAACAAAAAAAATCCAGAAAAACGTATGTCAAAAATTGTATAAATTGATTTGCATTTTAATGAGGGAAATTAGTATTTCACCCTCTCAATCAGAAAGATTTCTGGCTCCCAGGTGTCTTTTATACAGGTAACGAGCTGAGATTAGGAGCACACTCTTAAAGGGAGTGCTCCTAATCTCAGTTTGTTACCTGTATAAAAGACACCTGTCCACAGAAGCAATCAATCAATCAGATTCCAAACTCTCCACCATGGCCAAGACCAAAGAGCTCTCCAAGGATGTCAGGGACAAGATTGTAGACCTACACAAGGCTGGAATGGGCTACAAGACCATCGCCAAGCAGCTTGGTGAGAAGGTGACAACAGTTGGTGCAATTATTCGCAAATGGAAGAAACACAAAAGAACTGTCAATCTCCCTCGGCCTGGGGCTCCATGCAAGATCTCACCTCGTGGAGTTGCAATGATCATGAGAAGGGTGAGGAATCAGCCCATACCTACACGGGAGGATCTTGTCAATGATCTCAAGGCAGCTGGGACCATAGTCACTAGGAAAACAATTGGTAACACACTACGCCGTGAAGGACTGAAATCCTGCAGCGCCCGCAATGTCCCCCTGCTCAAGAAAGCACATATACATGCCCGTCTGAAGTTTGCCAATGAACATCTGAATGATTCAGAGGAGAACTGGGTGAAAGTGTTGTGGTCAGATGATACCAAAATCAAGCTCTTTGGCATCAACTCAACTCGCCGTGTTTGGAGGAGGAGGAATGCTGCCTATGACCCCAAGAACACCATCCCCACCGTCAAACATGGAGGTGGAAACATTATGCTTTGGGGGTGTTTTTCTGCTAAGGGGACAGGACAACTTCACCGCATCAAAGGGACGATGAACGGGGCCATGGACCGTCAAATGCCAGGGCATTTACAATGGGTCGTGGATGGTTATTCCAGCATGACAATGACCCAAAACACACGGCCAAGGCAACAAAGAAGTGGCTCAAGAAGAAACACATTAAGGTCCTGGAGTGGTCTAGCCAGTCTCCAGACCTTAATCCCATAGAAAATCTGTGGAGGGAGCTGAAGGTTCGAGTTGCCAAACGTCAGCCTCGAAACCTTAATGACTTAGAGAAGATCTGCAAAGAGGAGTGGGACAAAATCCCTCCTGAGATGTGTGCAAACCTGGTGGCCAACTACAAGAAACGTCTGACCTCTGTGATTGCCAACAAGGGTTTTGCCACCAAGTACTAAGTCATGTTTTGCAGGGGTCAAATACTTATTTCCCTCATTAAAATGCAAATCAATTTATAACATTTTTGACATGCGTTTTTCTGGATTTTTTGGTTGTTATTTCTGTCTCTCACTGTTCAAATAAACCTACCATTAAAATTATAGACTGATCATTTCTTTGTCAGTGGGCAAACGTACAAAATCAGCAGGGGATCAAATACTTTTTTCCCTCACTGTACGTGTATGTCTGGCAGAGAGAAATGCATGCAAGTGGACTAGAGTGGCATGTTAGTGTTCCTATGTAGATAATGTACTGTGTCTTTGGATGCATATTTTGTGTGCAATGCTTGTCTGTTTCTAGAATGTAGTGTTGTTCTATTGAGTCAGTCTGAGGGGGTTGTGGAGGGTTGGGGGTCCGGGGTCACAGAACTCAATGTGAGAGGCTTGGCTCCCCCGCTTCGTTACAGCCCTGCACAGAGAGAGGGGTCCCTTACCAGCCGCGACCGAGACTCACTTGGGCGTGAGGCGAGGGTCTCCATACGGGGCATAGGGGGACATGTTTAAGAGGAACTCCTTGGGCGGGTAGGAGCTCCATCTCTGCTGCACGTTGCTGCTGTCATTGTTATTCCAAAAGTCCCTGTCTAGATCACTGCGGCCAGAGAGAGAGACAGGTAAGAGCAGCACAGCCAATCACAATGGAGCCGGAGTTTCAGGGATAGAAAGAGAGATAGGTCAGAGGTCAGAGCAGCAGAACAAATCACAGTGGAGCGAAGTGAATGATGTTTCTTGGAAATAGAAAGGACAGGGAAATAGCCTTGGTGAATGAGAAAAATGTCAATCCAGGCAATAGAGATACACATCCAATATTTGTAGAAAATAATTGGAAAATACATTAGGGATAGGGGGTCCTGCACAGGGCCGGACTACCACATTTGGGGCCCTGGGGCACCGACCTCCGGGGGCCCCCCATTTCTGAAATCTGCGAACTTACTGCATTTCAACACATTCTGCCATGGTGCAGAGAGAAAACATTTACTTTCTCCCACAGGACCACTATGCCCACCCCTCCCACCACAGGACAGTTGCACCCACCCACCCACAGGTACCGGGAGCACCCTGAGGGCATAGAGAGCATTTCGGGGTTGGATGTATTTTCATTTGGAATAATCTGGGGTAAGATAAGATCTGTGGACAAAATTAAAATGGATATTCTGATAATTAGGATTTCTAGAAGAGAGAATTACAGACCATACAGTTTGCCAGTTAATTTCAGTGATTGAATGTAAGAGGTCTCTCTTCTATAGTAGGTTGATTGGCAGGGGCTTCTGAGATCAGAAAACAGTCCCCTGGGTTTAGGCCGGTTCTCAATTTTTTTGCAGAGGGGGTGAGTTGGTAGTGTTTCGCCCCAGGGAACACCATATGCTCGCATGGCAGAGGGAAATTGTAAATAAAAGAAGGATTTGCCCGGTAAATTAAAAGTTGTTTGTAATTTCTGATAGCAGGTCTGCAAAGCACAGCTCGATGGTCGGCGAGGGCCATGGGTAATAAATCTATATCAAGAACTTTGTTGAACAGGTCCTTTGAAGTGAATATAAAGTCAATTCGAGAGAAGGATTTGTGTCGACGAGAGAAAAAGGTGAAATTCCAGAGGTGGGACTCATAATTCGCCATTAATCGTCAACTGCCGCCTCATTTGCCCATTTCCGCAGTGCCACAGAGGTAAGATGCTGGTCTCTCTCCTCTGTCTGCCCAGATCTGTCTAGCCTGTACTCCCAAACTGCATTAAAATCGCCGCCAATAATTAGTCTGAAGTCAGCTAAATCTAGTGTCAGGGTACAGAATTGGTCATAAAATGAGCTATCGTAAGTGGTCGGTGCATACACCAACAGAACAGCAATTTTACTTCAGTTTAATAAAAGTAATCAGTTTAATAAAAGTCAGTTTAATAAAAGTGATTCTGCCCTGCGTGCCCGTTCGGTAATCCGGCCCTGGTCCTGCATTTATAAAAGTAATTCCATTATAATATTCGTAATACAGTTTCAGAGCAAAACATTTATGTCTTGGAAAAGCAAGTAGAAAAACAAGTGTATTAAGGAAGGTAAAGAGTATATCGGTTTAAAGGGGATGGGGTTTGGGAAAAGCATATTGTCTATTCTTTGAGCTGATACAGCATCCAGACTCATGGACAAATGAATAGATTATACCTCTCTCTGTACAAGGGATTAGAAAACAGTGAAAGAGTTAAACATGTATTCAACGTCATTCACAGAGTAATATATAGCATGTTATAAGTCAAAGTGAAACAGCAAAGGTTGGTTACACAGATAAAACATACTTTTGAAAAAGGGAGAGAGACAGAAAGAGAGAAGAGAGAAATAAAACAGAGAGGAGAGTGATAAAAGGGAGAATGGGAGAACAGGTGGAATGGTGACAGAGGAGGGAGAGGACTGCTGGGTTAGCTTTAGACAGAGTCCACCGTTAGTCAGGCCTTGGGCTGCGCAGCTGCAACCATGAAGGAGGAATGTTAACAACAAACAGTCATACAGTAGAATATATCATCAAAACATTGCTGCAGGTATATACTATTTTTTTATTGGGATTGGGCTATAGTTATAAATGTACTATGATACGCTCAATATTAGGTATAGTGCTCAATTAAGTGATTCTGACAATTGTACTTTACAAGGCATTGAGATAAAGGATACATTAGTGCAATCCAAGTAGATCAATGGTTTTAGGTTTACACTCTAGATGTAATGCACATTTCAACTGAAACTCAGCCAAGGTAATCACATTCAGGCTGTAAAATGAAGTAACACTGCAGTTGGACTGTAGACTAGTGGCTTATCAGTAAGTTATTATTACAGTTCCATTGAGTGTTCAGGGACACATCGTGTAGTGCCTAATCTTACTGGAGTTTAACATGCTCTTTATCTGAAGCCTGTCAAATTAAGTATGCTATAATTTATGCCTCTTGTTTTCACAGGAAGGACTGTGATGAGTTGTCAAGATGCTCTTATTTAACAACCACAACTGCTCTTTCCCTTGCTAAATATGTTCCTTCCTCTCCATATCTCAGCGAGTTTCAGTGTTTTTGCCTTTTATTTGAGCACACCCAGGTCTTTGCCTCTTGTCCTCTTGACAGCTGTGCTGTAGTGAATCCCTCATAGCTCAGCCAGCCTCTTCCAGCCCAGCGAGTCATCATTCATTTACACACACAAACACAGGCAAGCCCATTAACTCCCAAAGACTGTGTTTTAAAGTGTTCAGACTCAAGTGGGTATTACAAAAATGTCTTCTGTCTTCCCTGTTTCAATAAACTGGTCTGATGTGAATAAAGAACGGTGTGAAACAACAGATTACATGAGGAGATGGATCTCCGCTTGAAACATTGTAGCCATTCTACTGGGGCTTTAGCAGACACCAGACACTACCTATATCTACCTGTGATATGTTGTATAAAGTGAAGTGTTGCATGTCCTGTGTTGTGTTACATGTATGCCAGGAATGCCTGTATTGTTGCCAAGCAAATTCCCCTATGTGACAATTAAGTATTACTTGATGAATTCCCTCCTGGTGACAAGATACAGTAGACCTGAGCTCACCCCCCCCCCCCCCCCCCCATCCAATACCTACTTGATGGCTTTGTTTTCCCCTCGGCCACGAATCTGAACTGAATCTGGGGTGCTGGCTGCCTCCACCCCAGGCTTGTTCCTCTTCCCCTGGAGAGAGCGCGAGAGAGAGAGAGAGAGAGAGAGAGAGAGAGAGAGAGAGAGAGAGAAGAGAGAGAAGAGAGAGAGAGAGAGAGAGAGAGAACGAGAGAGAGAAGGAGAAAGAACGAGAGAGAGAGAGAGAGAGAAAAAAATTTTTTTTCCTTCTGCGGGTCGGAAAAAAAATTTTTCCGCCCCAATCAATTTTGTGGAAAAAAAAAGGGAAAAAAGGGAGAGGACCGGAAACTTTGAGAACGGGGGAGAGAACCAGACAACAAATTAGGAAGTGAAAGGGGGCCCGGGGGGGAAAAAACCAGGGGGCCCAAAAACCCCCAAGGAAAAAGAACGGTTTTCCCCAAAATTAAAGAGACCCGAGACCCCGCCCCCCCCCCATAACCAAGGTTTTGCCCGGCCCCACAAATCAAAACGAATCGGGGCGGTGACCCCCCCCCTTTTTTTTTGGGGGGGGGGGGGGGGGGGGAAAAAAAGGGGGGGGGCCCCCCCCCCCCCCGGGGAGGAGAGGGAAAGAGGAGAAGGGGGAAAAGGGAAAAAAAGGGGGGGGAGAGGAGGGGGAGGGGGGGGGAAAAAAGGGGGGAAAGCAAAGGAAAAGGGAAGAAAGGGAAAAAAAGAAAAAGGGGGGAAGGAGGGAAGGGGGGGGGGGGGGGGGGGGGGGGGATTGATTGCTGTTTACATCTGAAAACACTTTACCAGTGGAGCCTTCAATACAGAGCCTTTAGAATGCCATCAGGTGTCAAGAATATGCTAAATGATTCCAGGCAGAGACAGAAGAGCAACACTTTGGATGCGAGCCAGCACATACAGCAGCAACGTGCATGCCCCGCCCACCTGAGGATCTGTCTTTTTCAGCCATTTCCTGTCTTTGAGGGGTGCAAAATCCACTTGTCACTTAAATTTCGCTGATTGATTGCTTTCATTTTACTCCTGTGACTCTTTCATACTCTTCCTTGTGCCTGTCGTTTTTTCCCGTTAACGTTATGACCGCGGAAATGTTTGTAATGACCTGTCAAACACACCACAGTAATGGCTGAAATGGGCTCAATGGAATACATTCTCTTTCCGTTGCATCTACAAGAACGCTAAAACTTAGTCAGGGATTTAACGCATCGTCTAGACACTTACATCACAAGAAAGAGAAGAAAGATACCTTTATTTTGATGTGTGTACATTTTTTGTGGAATGGAAAAAAGTTATAATTTAATACAGTTGAAATGTTTACAAATTAAATAAAAGGAACTTCTGAATATGAACACCTGACTATTGTGATATTATTTTGTATTTGTATTTGTATTTATTATGGATCCCCATTAGCTGGGGTCCAGCAAAATTAAGGCAGTTATACATTTTAAAAACATTAGAATACATTCATACCAGATTTCACAACATATTAAGTGTGTGCCCTCAGGCCTCTACTCCACCCAGAGCATGCGCAGACCAGCTGGCTGGTGTGTTTACGGACATATTCAATCTCTCCCTTTCCCAGTCTGCTGTCCCCACATGCTTCAAGATGGCCACCATTGTTCCTGTACCCAAGAAAGCAAAGGTAACTGAACTAAATGACTATCGCCCCGTAGCACTCACCTCTGTCATCATGAAGTGCTTTGAGAGACAAGTCAAGGATCATATCATCTCTACCTTACCTGTCACCCTAGGCTTACCGCCCCAATAGATTCACAGACGATGCAATCGCCATCACACTGCACACTGCCATATCCCATCTGGACAAGAGGAATACCTATGTAAGAATGCTGTTCATTGACAATAGCTCAGCATTCAACACCATAGTACCCTCCAAGCTCATCATTAAGCTTGTGGCCCTGGGTCTGAACCCCGCCCTGTGCAACTGGGTCCTGGACTTCCTGACGGGCCGCCCCCAGGTGGTGAAGGTAAGAAACAACATCTCCACTTCGCTGATTCTCAACACTGGGGCCCCACAAGGGTTGCGTGCTCAGCCCCCTCCTGTACTCCCTGTTCACCCATAACTGCGTGGCCAAGCACGCCTCCAACTCAATCATCAAGTTTGCAAACGACACAACAGTAGTAGGCTTGATTACAAACAATGATGAGACAGCCTACAGGGAGGAGGTGAGGGCTTTGGGAGTGTGGTGCCAGGAAAACAGCCTCTCACTCAACATCAACAAAACAAAGGAGATGATCGTGGACTTCAGGAAACAGCAGAGGGTGCACCCCCCTATCCACATCGACGGGACTGCAGTGGAGAAGGTGGAAAGCTTCAAGTTCCTTGGCGTACACATCACTGACAAACTGGAATGGTCCACCCACGCAGACAGTGTGGTGAAGAAGGTGCAACAGCGCCTCTTCAACCTCAGGATGCTGAAGAAATTTGGATTGGCACCTAAAACCCTCACAAACTTTTACAGATGCACAATTGAGAGCATCCTGTCGG